GTGCCAAAAGAGCCTGAAACGCATCAGATGTGCATTTTTTTTTTATCATGAAGTATAAATACTAAGATGAAACGTAATCAGTTCAGATTCGCCTTATTTTATAAGGAAACGGAGATAAATAAAGCTATTAGGTAGATTACATAAGAGGCGTAGTACGTATTCGCGGTTTTTATAGCGAATTAACCGGAAGCCCGGTACAAGTTTTTTATCAGCGCCTTCTTCGTTCATAAAACGGATCTACCAGTTTACGCATTCCTTGCAGGCACCACGCTACGCGTTCCCAACTGTGTACCTAAGTACACCTTTTCTTTCTTTCGTGCCACGTTTCCATTCTCCTTTCTCCCTTGCCTATCTTTGCATTTTCCACGCTCGTTTCTCTCTCCCGCGTTTCAACCCTCTTCCTCTCCCTTCGAGTACACGTCTCCTTCTTCCACCGCTTCCTTAAAGAACCGTCGAGTGGCTCCGAAAGCTAGGAGAATATTCTGTTCGACAGGTTTGCGGTTTCTAATCGCCGCCGGGCGACGCCGGTAGAGAAAAACGTTTAATTGACATTATGGGTGGACTTGATTTATGCGATAGACGTGATCGGTCCTGATCTGTCGCGTTTCGTGCAAGAATGCGACTCGGTCGGTTCTCGTGCAACGAGTTTAACCGATCCAATATCCGTCCAATTTTCAATGCCTTCGAGCGATCTTGAATCGTGTAGTTTATAATATTAGTAGCAATTATCGTTTTCGGATCACTGCTGGTTTTTCTGACGCAGCGGGAAACGAGCGAGGGATTAACGAAAGCCCGATCGAACGACAGTGTCATTTACATTTTGCCAGTTCACGTCTGGAATTAAGAATGCGCGATCTTTCTACGACGGTAAACTGCGTATTCTGTTATGTAAAACGAGGGCTGTTAATGGACGCGATGTTAAAGGTGCACAGTTTTCAACAGAATGCCTATCACTCTACACGCCTACTTTAAAAGTAACGATAGCGGTTGTCGCGCAAGGCCCTCGAGACACAATGAGCAATGGAAGAACTATTCACTCGGCTCGGCCTGACCTCACGCACGACATGCCGTTTTTAATAATGAAGCTTTGAATAGGTATCCGCGTATGCTCAACCCGTGTAACATATTTTACTGTTACCATTTGCATAGGGTACATCTGCATATACATTGTGATTAGTCTCCCGAAAAAATTGTGCCGGTGACACGTGTGGCTGAATCACTATTTGAATAAACTGTTGTGGAATTTATTTAGATAGCTTCTGTTAGTTACAGGTCGTTTCAGATCCGTGCCTGGCTTCCATTTACTGATTATAAAAATTGTGTCGGAGATCAATGTAGTTCTCGTAGCGAATTTTCATTAAAGAGTCCTAAACCCCTTCATTTCTAATAATATTCACGTGGATATAATATTTGTCTCGGTTTTGGGTCACAAGGGAATGGGTCGATGGGCGCTGGTCATCGTTTCCAGTGCAGACTCTTGAATGCTGGAAACCTTGAAACGGCGACGTTCACCGGACGCCGTATTTTCACCTTCTAACAACGAAAGGAACTTGGCGCCAGAAAACGGTGTACGTCCCACGCGAATCGCAGAAAATCATGCGTACCGTTATGACAATAATTTCGTGAAATTCACGAATGATTGCCCACACATTACTGAACCGTGACACGCGATGTTTTCCGAATAAGATTAACTGAATTTCAGTTGTTACTTTCCTACCCAATATTTAATCAGTTTAATAGTAATTCAAGTTCTTGCTGTTAGCTAATATTTATTCTTAAAAAATTTATATTTTTAGCATCTGAAGAATTGAAAGTTTATCAAGGGTTGGTCCATTCATCTCAGGATTCATTCATTCAGATCTATGATTAGGTTCGATAAATTTCGTGTCCCCACTATGGATGGATGATAGCATCAGTACGCGTGTGTCCACTCTTCGTGCGAATCCGCACAAAGGACGCTTATTCGCAATTGCAAAAAATAACGCGTCCCGCCCTGGCCATGAGGCGCACGAGTTGAATTGCATGTAGGGTGTGCACGCAGCCGTGATGCACATTAATAGGTACACACACGGTTACGTTCGGCTGGCGCGGAGTACAAGCTTTCGGGTACGTGGCGTGTGTGCAACGAGAGAAAGAGAGGCTCGCTAACACGCTGTGAAGGGTTCCCACAATCAGTACACAATCGGACTTAAGACCGGGTGACATACACACGGTGAACGGAAAAAAGTACGGATCTACGTTTTCGTGCGGTCGCTCATTAAACGGCCCGCCGTCCGCGAAAGGAAGCGAGCGGGACACGAGATTAAACTGGAGCGCGAACGCGTGGAATATGAAATAAAATAGTTGCCGGGTTTCGGTTGTCAGGCATTAACTCCTTAAGTTGCCAACGTACGCTGTGTTCCTTTTGAAACAGGATCGACGAACGTTCCTCTGATAAAAAGCAAAACTTTCAACTAACTAGCTGCGTTTCGTTGAAACGAATTTTCCATTTCCTATACTCGGGAGGTTTCCTTACGCAAACGAATTATGCAGTTCACCCTCATTCGCCAAAGATCAAATGTCATAGACGATCGGCACGTGGTAAGCGTACGCGATCACAGGTCACGAAGTTTCGTTCGCGCAAAAACGTATCGCGGGAAAAGGTATTCGTCGCGTGTCATTGTGAAGTTATGCGGGGAATTCGTATCGGGCAAAAAGCGCACGACGGAATGGGCGAACGTGCGCGTTCGATACTTTATTCCCGCGTCACCCTGTATGCACAGGTACAGGAGTTGCCGCACACGTGTGCACGGTCTGTTACGCACACGCACGTAATGCCTTTACGCACACGGGTAACCGTAAACCTCCAGTCTTTCAGTTCATGTCGAGACCGCGTACAGTGTGGACTCCCGGTGGTTTTCGAAATCCCGAACTACACGGGAGCGTCGCTCGGTATAGGAAACGCGTAAGAACCTCGGTCGCGCTCGAGTCTTCGCAGTGTTTCCGCTCAAGTTCCTCCGTTCTACGGTTTTATCCTCCCTTATCGCTCTCCGATCTTTCGGCTCCCTGATAATCTTGATAGAGGCATGCTGGCGTACATCCTTGGTTTCTTTTATTTCTACGCCGAACTGCTCCGATTAGAGTTGCAAATGCTTGTACATCCGGAGGAATACAAGTTGTCGAAGTTCATGCTGTGATACATGAATGAGAGCTGTTGATACACACGGGGATGAGTCTTCGTTTCCGGTTGCAATACATCGAACAATGATACCGCGCGAAATACAGTGATTACGAAGCCGCGCCGCTTTTTCGTCCTTCACCGCCTTTTCGTTCGCGTTTGTGAGTGCACGGAATGTATTCCGGTTTTCAGTGCAATCGATACTGATTTGCATGGAGCTCGCCGATGCTGTTAAATTTTAATTAACGCTCCACTCAGCTGGGAGCGTGTTTTCACGAGGAAATACCTGTACATACATACATCCATCCGGCTTCGCGATGGGTGGGTGTTATTCCGTAACAATGAAACCGATAATGAATACCGGCTCCACTTACTCAGGAGACTATCGAACGCTGAAATTTAACGAAAAACACTGGTTTTGATAACGCGCTTTTCACTGTGGCAAATCGAGCGGGATGACTCAAACCAGAGACACGTGAATCATCGATTGACGGGATGGATCTCCTTTAGTTCCGCCTTTGCACGTTTATCTATTTACAAGCAGCTCATTACGACGGAACGATCAACGAACGGTCGAACGATACGCGTCCCGTGATCTATGGAAACAATAGCGACGTCCGGCTTAAGCCGCGGAACGAAAAAGGTCTCGCGAGGCCGGGTTCATCCGCAGATACGTCGAGAAGTGAAAGTGTGCATTTTGCAAGATGCATGCAACTCCGGATAATGGCGAGTGCAGCCGCCACCGACGCCCCAGTGTGTCAGCGACGATCGCCGACGGCGACAGCTCGTTTCGTTCCTTCCATTACTCTTGTTGTCGTTGCCGTCGTCCTCGTGACACGTTACACAGTTCAGTCATGGATGGTCGTCTCGTGACGGAAAACCGACGCACAATCGTGATCAGCCGAATCGACGTAACGTGTAAGCTCAGTGACCCCGCGACCATGTTCGTCATCGGGCCTCATTAATTATTCATGACCGCCGAGTTTCCTCCGTCGCTGAAGAAAACGACTGGTGGTTATGCGCGTGTCTTCGTCAAGGTCGTCCCCGCTGCAGCTCTACGAGGAGGAAGAGGAAGTCGAGGGGGTCGCGACCCTTCATGGAACACGGTGAAAGGGACAGGATTCTCTCGCCGCGTTATCTTTCCTAGCCACGTGGATCTTCTACCGTCAATATGGAGACTATATTGAATTGTAATTAAGCTTCTGAATATACACACGGTGACGGCGTACATGAATCCTCCATGAGTCATGTCTCTCGGAGAATCGTTTCTTACATTCATGTTTACTTCTCTTTTCTACTCAAGATTCTAATTTCGTTTGAAAATACGAATTTCAGTTGAATACTAAAATGAATGAATATGTAACGACAATGAAATTTAAAATGTTTTAACTCCGTGTTTATGAAAGATCGTCCCAATAAAATATCTGGGTTTCGGGAATAATCCGATAAGCTGTGTTTTGTCTTTTATCATCGCAAGGTCTAGCCATTACGGGCACAGACAATTTTACGAAGATTTATACGACGCTGGATCGATCGGGTGTTCGCTTGATAACGATTATCTTTATTAATACAGTCTGGGCATTGTATTCCGTGTACTTTCGATGAAGGTCCGGTATTATCTTCGGTAAATAACAACACATCACCCTACCTCGTGCGGCCAGCAGATAAGTGTTTCCTGCCGTTAAACCCGACGATAGAAGCGGTTTCTTTTCTTTTTTCACCAAGCAATTTTTGGTCATCCTGTTTCCCTAATGAGCAGCAACGATGCAGCCGCGCTCGTCACGAAAGATAGCGCATCCTGTGGCCGGTAGTCATGCGAGATTCCTACGCTTCTGCGTTTCAGACCTGAATTTATGGAATAAGAGCATCAGCCAACGATGGAGAAAACTGAGACGAAGGTGTTCCGTGCAGGAGACCTCGGAGCCTCAGGAGGCACTGTTGCAAGGTGGGGCGACCCAGGGAGTTATTCAGGCAGCAAGGTCCAGTCCAGCTAGCAGGGAGTCCTCGCCGGCCGCCAAAAGTCTGCAGGACGGCAACTCGCCCAAGAAATTACTGCAAACTAGCTCCTTGAGGTTGCCAGGTAATTATCCCTTTTGTTAACGCGGCAAAGCGCTAAGAGTACGATATCGAGCGATAATTGACTGCCGTTTAGGCACCACCAAGGGCATCGCCGACATCCAGCACGTACTGCGAAGCAAGTTTAGTAAGATAAACGCTGGTATTCGAAAGAGGAAGGCGTTGAGTGTCACGGAGGTGTTCTCGCAAAAGGATAACGCGTCGAACTTCTACGTCCCGAGTCCATTGACCTCTTCCAATAGTCAGAATTTCGAAGACGACTACGATTCCAGTGAACCGGCCTCCCTTCCGCCGTATCCTTTCCACGACAACCTCGAGACCCTCGCCGAGGGCAGCGTGCCGAATTCTCCTAACTGCAGCAGTCCGTTGACGAGCAGCAACAAGACGTTCACGTACTCGCAAAGCAGTAGCGCGTACGACTCGCCGATTCTCAGTCACGATCAGAAAGACGCGTACGAGAACGTGCTCTACGCTAACAACTCGTCGCCTGGGTGCTGTTCGAGGCCCAGGGGTATGTTGCATCGCAGCAATTCCGAGAATCGCGATACGTGTCGACACCAGGATCACTCGTACGAGAACGTACGGTATCAACGGGGTCACAGATCGGAGCTGACGCCGTCGGTCACTCCCCAAGCGGAGAGGCATCTGGCACGGAGCAACTCCGAGACGAGGGACCAACATTCCTATGAGAACATCCACTTCCAGAAGAATACGAAGTCCAGGAACCAGTCCGAGCCGTCGTTCGAGGAGATTCATATACCTAGGGTGACGCCCAGAAAGAGGGCGACCGACTTCAAAGTAGGCGGGCAGGTGAACAATTACACGAACGGCTCCGGATCCTGCGTGAACAAAGAAGACGGTCCTTCCAGTCTGGGGGCTGAAAAAAGTCCGGGCAAGAAGACTACGAGACGGTTGAACAGCAGAAGCGTCGCCAACATTCCTAGTTCCTCCGGTGCCGGGTTGAAGACTTGGCAAGTGAGTATAGAAGAGAATTGTGTTAATTATCACTGGTATTCATTGATCACTGAATTTCGTTCATTGTTGTACAGGGTACGCAAGACACGGACGAAGGCCTGAATACCGACTCCGAACTCGAAGACATCGACGAAGCCGGCGAGGGTGAAGAGTCGAGATTCTGCACCCTACCGAGGCCAGGCAAGGGTGGCGCGTCATTCACGATACTGACAGCGAGATTCCTGAAGGGTCCCGGACACAAAGGGCTCGGTTTCAGTATCGTCGGCGGTACGGACAGTCCACGTGGGAATATGGGCATCTACGTCAAGACGATTTTCCCCAACGGCCAAGCTGCTGATCTTGGAACTGTCAAAGAAGGTATTATTACGATCAATACACGTCTAAGTGGTACAATCATTGCTAGAAAAATAAAATCATTCCTCAATCGGCACACTTTATATTGTTCCAGGGGACGAAATTTTGTCGATAAATTCGAAACCTCTTCATGGTATGACGCACGCCGAGGCGATCGCCGAGTTCAAGTCCGTGAAAGCCGGTGACGTTGTTCTGCACGTCGGCCGTCGGGTGAACAAGAAAAAGAGGGACTCCCTGACGCTACCACCCGTCGCTCCGGCGCCTCGTCAGCAAATCAAGTGAATCGTTGTCGGCCACTTCCCAATTCGCGTTTCCCGCGAGAACGTTACGTTTCCATTCCGTATTTTAACGCGTCCAGGATCAATGTCTTGATATCATACGAAAAAGTCTCGTTCCAGTTTTTGTTGATCATACAGAGGTGGATCTCGCGCAGTGACAAGTTCGTCTATATTCGAAGTAGACTCTTGTTTTATAAGTGGAGTGATTATAAAACAGTGGAAGAGATAAGGCAATTTAAGCTGTTTAAAATGTCGAAACGAGGAACTGAACGCGCGTTTATTCCTGTGGAAGTTTACTTGTTTAGTGATAGCGAAGATCGTACCGTCGCTCGAATCGAAGACGTGTTTGGGAACGTCACGAAATTAAATCTAAGCACGGGATCTATAAACGAATCAAAAATGATATAAATTCTATGATATTCGAATATCTATTCGGTGTTTCGACATATATTTATCGATGAAGCTTTTAACCGTTCTTCAAATAATCATCAAAGTCGCTATTAGCGTTTTCGCAGCGTTCAAAGCTGTGGCTTTCGTACGTTTTTGGCGTACCGAATTTTACATTACGAAACAGAAAGCGTTACCTATTTTTGTCGAAATTTTCTCGGATACGAGATGTATTTTTTAAACGATCTTGATGTTTAAAATCCAATCCGCGTGAGCACGGACAAGGAAACGATCGAAGAAAACAAATCAATGTCCTCCATACTTAGTAGTTAGCGGAAAGCAGCGATTTATTTTTGTAAAACGCGAGAATCATCGCGCCGGACAGTAAAGAGGAAGGCTCGGGACATCGAACGCACGTTAATTAACGAATTGACAAAGAGAAAAGAGGAAAAGCAACGCTTCAGTCTGTGACACGGCCTGATCGAAGACAAGACTCGCGCGAGAGACAGGATACGAAAAATTTGCGCGTTGTCGCGAGCATGAATCGAATTATTTTTTAACGCATATGCAGAGTAAACGATGATCGCCCAAAGATGAAGCCCAAAAAATATTTTTATTACGAGAAGAATAATTATGCCGCAAGAACGGAGGAACGCATATCTATAGAATTATACGTGTATAATAATAATTACATAGAAATATATTTTGACGAATTGAACGAGACGCGTTTATTTTATAAGCCGATGCAATTTTGTTATTAGTATCTAGTCCATCTGTAATATTTCGTTTCAAGAGCAACAATTTCTCTATATTTCTTACTATCTCACTTGATATAAAGTTTAAAGAAAAATGAAAGGAAAAAAAATATATACATATATATATGTTATATATATATGCATATATCTATACGGTGATATACATATGATTATATATTTCTTATATCGATTTTTCATGGTGTAACGAAACGAGCGTAATCGATCGATGATTAGTTAGAGTTTAAGGTTCAACGATGTATTACATGACCGACAAGAATGGAGAAATTGATTCTAACATAGCGATCATCACGTCTGCCTCTTCCATCGCTTTGACAGCACTTATTTCGTCTTTCAGGGATTAAAGCGACTACGTTAACTAAGTTAGAATTAATCTCTCGATAAAGAAGTCATGCGTGTATTGAAGGAAACGAGAGCTGTTTGGAACCGTTTCTTTTTGGCTTTATTAACCATAATCCGTGTCAAAAACTACAATTACATCAATTTCATCTGTCCATAATTATTACCCTGTTACATGTCAACGATCCGAATTTTCGTGTACGATATACATCATTAATCGAATGAATTCATTTTGCTCGATGCTCTGCGAGGATTTAAAAGAATCCAGTTATCCATTGACACGCAACGCGTGATACGACGTTATACACGCGTGTTGAACAGTACGATTCTCTTTTTATTAAAACAAAATAAAATTGACCACATACATGTCTTCTCTATCATAAATATGTAAGTGCAATTCGATGTTGCATGCATACGAACTAGTTGGAGAGTGTCGTTGTGTTTCCTACTTACTACGCGGGGTCGAAAAAAAAAAACAAATAAATAATTCGCATAAAGGAAACGAGTTTATGATTGATTGAAATAACTCTTTCCCTCTTCCCACTAATTGTGCTGATCATTTTCTTTTAAATACATAACAGTAAGTACCGATTGAGTGACCATTAATGACTCTCCGGACCAGAAAGAAAGTAAAGGAAAAAAACGATCACAATTGCGAGAGATCATTCCGTTGGAGCTAAAGAAAGTATCTAGTCTCCTCTAAAATAGAGAACGACGTTCTACACCGAGTGAACTCAGATCTCGAGTAAAACGAGTCTTCCATCGGTGCATTTTAATTGATTAAAATCAGTGATTGATAACGTAGAAGAATTTAAAAAAGAAATATAAAAGGAAAGGGAACGGTAACAAATCTGCCCTGGTTTACCAGAGTACAGTCTACGTGTGAGATAGTCTAAATAAAAAAAAACAACTACTCGTAACTTTGATCCTCAGTCGATCGAATCGAGTGAAAACGAACGTTTTCAGATCTCGTTCACGTGTTGGTGAATGTTGTACGCCCTCCCGCCTCTCCTAGACTCCCTCGGAATTACGGCCAGGTGCTGAGGGTCGATTTTCACTTCCTCGACCTTCTTCTGACCCGAACTTTTCTCCGACGCGAACAAGCCCAGTGGTTTCGAATAAACGTATGTCGTTTCAGCCCCGTTCGACTGACCAATCGTCGCCGATCCCTTCAACACGTTATCTTGCGCGCTGAGCAGTTGCTTGAATCGTTCGTCGTTCTTTTCCTCTTGGTCCCAGAGAGTTCTGGCGGACCTAGAATTGGTAGGTGGAGTCGTCTGTTGGTTATTTCGTTTCTGATCGGTTTCCTGCTGGTTGTTCCTGTTAGTCAGGTTCAACTTCGGGTTCAGGTTGAGTCCGAGCCATTGAGAGAAGAGAGCTATGCCTTGTTCCGCGCTGGCTGACACCGCTGCTATCAGTTCATCGGTATTCAAAGAATCGTCCTCTTCCTCGGAATTCTCTGCAGCCTCCGTCGTCTCCGTGATGCTACGGGGAAATGAAATCATAAAGAGATTGACAGTAGACACTGAATAAACATAGATAACGTAGTCGTCATGTGTAATGGGATACGTCGCAGGTGCCGATCGTAAAACAGTTATTAGGATCGTACTCACATAGTGGCTTCGACTTGTCTCACCACCTGATTGAAATTGAAGCATCCCATGTGGTAAGTGGCCTGCGGCGTGCCCAGCAATGCGGGCTCTATCACCAGGCAGCCGTCGTAACCGGCTTCCGCTTGTTTGATCGACGCAAATTTCGCGCATATCTGCGCCAAGTCCGACAGGAGGTTCATACAGGTCGGCTTGTTAGCCGCGTCCACTGTAAAACATCGTAGCCCGAGAATTACGAATGTTGTTTCATGAAATCTCGCTAGAAATCGTTCTATTATCGTTCACCAATCTTGATGGTAGCATTGTGCACGGGATTGTCCCCGTAGCTGAGGTTCAACGAGACGTTCTCGTCCTTCTGTTTGATGTTGATGCAGGCAGGACCGCCCAGGTCGATCGTAGCCGTCAGATTTAAATCGACACAGCACAGACAATTGGACGTTTGGCAGAGGCATTGGGATTGCGGAGCGGACGATCTGCCCACGGCGTCCGGCAGGTCCCAGGACAGCAGCGTCTCTGATCGCGGGAAAATACAGAAGAGACGCGTGAGAGAAACTCGTGAAGAGAAATTGGAACGAAACGAAAGTCGTCGATCGAAAGTCGACGAAAAAATCGTCAGCAATTTCCATTCGAACGTCGCCGAGTTTTCACCCAGCCAGTCTGACACCGTTTTGAATTGCCAATAGTGGGTTCGCGAAACTTCTTCCTACAATGGATATTCCCTATTCCGAATTGAATCTTTTAAACGTAAGTGTGCCGCGTCGATGATTCAGAAATTACGTATGTGCATATACATATGCCTATCCGTAGACTTTCTCGCGTTACTGGGACAAGTTATCCGTCCGACGTTCCACGATATTCGTGATTCGTTTGTTAACGTTACGGGACGGGAACTAATTAATGAAGATGGTTAGTTACTAATTGAATAACGAAACGCGGACACCCGTCGAAGAGAAATCGCGATCGCGGCACGCGCGCGCGCGCGGGGCGTCACGTCGGAAATCGAGCCAACCCCGAAGAGGGCCGCGATTCGTATGCGAACGTCGAACGTTTGTTTACCCGCGCGTCACGAATCGAACACGCGATGGTCCCCTCCGTGTCCGGCGTATCGGACATCCGGCCGGGCTCCTCTGGTTAGCGTGTCCGAGGGATGCTGCAAAAACCAGAGAGAGAAGTTTTACGCGCGAGAGCGTAATTTGCTCACCGAGCAATCCGGCGGAGGACACCAGGGCGACGCTGACGGTCAGCAGCACCAAGATCGTCGACTTGACGGCCATCGTCACTTCGTTCCGGGGTTGACACGTGCGATCCTCTCGTGCGGTCTTTCGAAACGAGTCGCGATGCTGAAGAACTCGCGGATGAAACCACCAAGTCCGAACTGTCAAAAAGGACTCGCGCTGCGCCGGAGAAGCCTGGAGATCCTGCCCAGCAAGGAAGAAGCTTAAATCTGGACACAAAGCCGGGCGCGGGTCTCGGAATGGCGATCGGCTGGCGTGCGGCACGAAAACTGGCGACAGGATTGGCCACGGCGACGATGAGGTGCCACGCCATTGGCCGAGGTGCGGAGGTAACAACGGGCAAGGAACCTCATCTGGGTGACCGGGTGACCTCCTTCGGCAACCTGGTACCACGGGGAACTTACGCGACTGTCCTATCTACTCTTCTCTACTCGGCCAGCCTGGGCGACACAGGGGGCCCCCTCCGACAAAAAGCCGGTGCTCTTCTTTTCGGATGACCGCCGTACACCGTTCGGAGCGCGCTAGTAAAAGCAATTTCTTTTTTTTTCTCGCCGCTTGTTTCGAAAATTTTCATCGCCTCGTGCCAACGATTTCGTTCCCTCCACCTTGGTAAAAGTGAAAATTCCCGGATAGAGAACGTCTATCGAGTCTGATTTTTTTTAAAGTGACGGACACGTTTCTCTGGGTGGAGTCTGTAATAATATCTGCTTTTTCTGTCATCGCTCTTGTAGCCTACATCGTGACGAGCGTAATGACGGTAATATACTGTTGAGATTACCGAGACCGTCTTTAAACGTTTCCCTCGTTTCTTAGTAATTAGATTTTCATCGGCAGCGCCTCGATTATACCTCGCCTTTCTCTGATCAGTCACGTAGACGCACGACTAAAACGATATTAAACGAAAGGGGAAGGAAAAGCGCGCGTTCGACTGGCCATCCGGTCGCCTCCGTTCCGCTCGGACACTCAACGAAATGCGCCAGTTTGTAACGATCGTTATCACCATCTCTCGAGAAGCATCGCGAAGTAGTTATGCAATTTACGCCGATATCGTTATTTTCACGGTTGAAGGAATGCAAAAGAGTAGCTGCCTCGTCGAGAGTCTGATCGATGCACGATTTCCTTTCCTGTTTACAAGCTCCTGGGCTGCTCCCGATTGAGTTATGGTTTCGAAACGGTACCCAGCATCTGGACAGATTATCGTTACGTAAAAACTCGTTTCCCTTGATGACCCACATCCTTCGGACCGTTTAGAAGCCCGTAGGACCGCGCGCTTATCTTAAACGCCATCGGTCGCATACGCAACGTCAGGACAATAATTATTCAACGCGTCGCGACCCTCCGTTGCAGGAATTTCATTGTGAACCTTCATCCCGTCGAACAAGTATTAACCAAGGTAAACCACTCCTGACCACTACTTTCTTCGGCCTACTAACCGGAGAAAGGCCCCTCCTTTAACTACCGAAACACGCTTTTGCCTGGCTACTCAGTGGATTTTATCAGACAAGCAGATGTGCGTCATCGTTCTTGTGAAATCCAAAAATTATTACGGGAGTCAATGATTCTATCAATAGGTATTCGATGTTTGCAAAGCATACGGGGTCGACGTGTGTCAATGAACAGTTTAAGGGTCAGTGAAAACGCTCGCGTTAATTGTAACGTGCACGCAAAAGCGTGGTGCACGCCGGGTGAATGAAGAATTTCCGGCACGCTCATTGTCGATGCACCGCAAACACCTTCGCGACGATGTAACTTTATGGCGTAGAAATTAGCTGTAAAGTGGGACTGGCTATTAGACCGTTATCGAGGCTTTCATTATAAACACGTGCAAAACCTACATACATTGTCTTACAAGTTCGTAACAAAAATTAATTAAGTCGTCGATCTTCAGACTTATTGGATTTGAAATGTAACGGCAAACAAGAAATCGGGAGTCGTTTTCCTCCTCGGATTTCGAGATCTTACCTTTCCTGCGTAGGATGAGTCACCGCGATACCGTTCAAGAGTAAATTTTACATCGAGGACCGAACACCGGTAGCGGTTGGCGAACGTACTTGACCCTGCGGTACCGGTTCAAGGCGAGACGATAAACCACTTCCGTTGATTTCGAGCGAGGCGGAACGACGAGATCCCTATCCCGGGGAGGATTTCAAGATGGTGTTCCTCAGTCTGGTGGGGTGCGCGATTGTCTTATTTACCTAGAGCGTATTAGAATGCTTAATAATCGTAGTCGCCGCCGAGAGGCAGGTGGTGGTGGGCATGACCGACTTTTAAAGAAACCTTGGGGGGAGTTGGGCGGCATCTTCAGTTAGACATTGGCCTCCGTAAGACGAAGAGCCGGAAAAAAGAGCCGAAGGGTGCAAGAAGAGAGACGAGAGACCATCTTTCACAAACGAAATTTTCTCAACTGGAATTCTTTTCTCTATCGCACAGGTCAGTGACAAAACTGATTTTTCGCTGCTGTCAAATATCGTTTCTTTTACATTGTTTAACAATTTCCATGGAAAGGATCGTGTTCGCGGAAGTAGCTTTCGATTGGCGTCGGTTTTAATTTATTTATCCTTTGCGTGGAGCAATGCCAACAATTCTAAACCACTTTTTATTGATAAAATTTATACTTTGGTTGCATTATTAATTTTAATTGTCGAGTCCGATCATTCGTTGACATACCAACGCGTAACGATCACCGTTCATCGCGTCGTAACCACGTAATGTTTACCATAAATGCGATCGTCGCGATGCGTGCGCGTGCTTCCTGCCGCGCGTTATCCAAGTATCACTCGTGCAGTGAACTTCTTGGAGAGATGTCTTTGACCGTGACCGAGAATTAGGTCAACCGGTCGACGGGCGGAGAGGTTGTAGACACAGGGAATCGCGAGCCCGAAACTCAGAGAGAAAAAAAGTCTTCTCTCCCACGTGCTCGCTGCTCGAAATGATTGGATCAGTCGCGTTTCACCTTTGGGTAACTTATTGCTAACGAGCGTGAACACGTGGTATTGTTCTCCACCAACTCTGCGTGACAGTCGGCGTTCCGTTAAGGATGTATTTGGCTATACAGTCAATCCCAAAAGTTTATGCACTTTAGAAACGCATTTTTTAAAAAGAAATCACACGTCGAAAGAACATTG